TCATCCATCCGCCGAAGCTGCCGGAGTGGATGTGCGATTGCGGCCCGGAGCGGCAGGCGGGTTGCCAAGATGATCGATCCCCCGTGAGCGCACTTCCTCACACTCACCCAAGAATGCTCCGGGCTTCGTTGCAGACGCACGGGTACTTACTGGGCTTGATTATGAACGCAACATAGAAAGAGTGGAAAAAAGAAAAAAGTCAAAAAACGCAGGTCCCGCGACCTGGAAAGCCTAAATAGGCCTCAAGGCAGTATGCTAAGTTCACACTGTCAACATTAATAATGAAGCATAGTACACCAGAAATACACCAGCGTGGAACAGCGCCCAGTCCATCATCTGCTATTATTAGTCTTGTATGCCGCCTGTGTGATGCGCCCTGTTGTCGGCAGTCTGGGCATTTAGAAAGCACTTTCGACCATTTTGGGCTTTGATAGCAATCGCCCTCAAGACGAAGCCAACATTTCAAGATCTTTTGTTCCACGAGATGAGGCCACTGTTATTTATCCCAGCAAACGCTGCCAAGACACGGGTCTAGATCTGCAGGTCATCATGCACGATTGCCTGCCATCAACATCCAGAACCAAACTCAATCCGCACAGCTTCACAGCATCATCGCCAAGACATGAAAGACGTTGGGCTGGAATCCTCAAGTTCTCCGTACAGTTCCATCAACATTTCCGCGGGCAGATCGTATGCCGGATGACTCAGCAGCTTAGCGTAGGGTCTGGGTGGTTTGGGCTGGCCCTTGGCAAGCACATCAACACTGATGCTCATTGCATCATTCACATCGACCCCCATAGGCAATGCTTTCACGAGACACCGTGCCTCCCTCGAGACCAGCCACGCAGACCGCTTCCAGGTTGATAGGCCGGGAAGCGTGGGGTCTTCCCACCGAAATCCCACTGGAAACATGGTATTCATGGCGACTGACACCCACATTGCGGTGTTTTGACCAGCTGACTTCACAATGCTCAAGTGAGCCCTTGAATTGTGTTACCTAGCTCAAGATCCGGCCCTTTTCTGCTGTCACAGCAAGTGATCGCGGTATCTGCCTTGCCTGTTTATTGACCGAACGCTATCAAGAACAGGACATGACTGGGGTTTCGATTTCTTGATCTGGGGACATGCACACGGCCGAGTTTGGAAAGCTCCAATGTAGTGGTCATCAATCTCCAATCTCCAAACCGGCCGGCAAAACGATATCGCTGCCTGTTCCACTTGAACTCGCGACCTCGGGCTTCGAACAAGGCGGTGTCAGTGGTGCTAAGTTGACCGTGATAGGCGAGGGCGTCGATCGCGCCATCCACTTGATACCCACCTTCCCACTACTTCCCGAGCCCCCGCCTCTTGACAAGACGTCGGATCCGACATTGACATCCCGGTGTTCTTCCTTCTCTCCAGAATATGTTTCGGGACTTGCTTGTTGTGCGTTTTCCAGGTTGTTGGGACCTAGAGCGGGCCTCCCGGCGCCTCGTTCTTTCACTCAGCTACCCCTAGCATTTCACAGACGGTCACCTATGGAAAGTGGGAGTCGGCTTTGGACATGTACGCTGCCTGCCTGATTGATGAGCAGCATATCGACCATCTTAGCGCTTCAAGACAAACTCCATCTTCTCAATATCTCCCGGTACCTAATCAGGATCCCACGCCCTTACCTATAATCCTGGCACCTACAGCATTGTTTTCATATTCCGGCGCATTCTCCATCTTGGGCGGCATCTATCTGTTACTCGCCTTATAATCAACTGGTACAGCCTCGAGTCACATTTCCGACGGCATATTTTAATATCCGAGGCGGTGTATCAAATATATACATCAGTCATCAACAGTCGATGGTTTGTCGGTATCCTAAAGACACCAATCACCGGTTTTCTATTTAGATTTTACACCATATTACAACTGAACGACTTTAGATCGCCATGTCATCGGGAGTTGGCCACAAAGTGGCGAGGTTTCTTGGAATCCAGCTGCAGACGAAAGACCCATACCACCATGCCAACGATCCCAGAGAAACTGCCCACTTTAACTCAAACCAGACATTCGTGGAAGAGTCACCCAGGGTGGATGAGTTCTTCCTGAAATTGGTCCCTTCTGGTTCAGAGTTATGGCGATATCTTGTTTCCCTCTTCCCGTTCCTCTCTTGGATCGGGTATTACAACCTTCAATGGCTAGCTGGAGATTTGGTCGCCGGTAGGAATCCCGAGACTTGCCTACCTTACCGAGTTTACTCACTAAGATGAGTTCACAGGTATCACTATCGGCGCTGTTGTTGTCCCGCAAGGCATGGCTTATGCGAGACTGGCAAACCTGGATGTCCAGTTTGGTCTGTACTCGAGCTTTATGGGTGTTCTGGTGTATTGGTTTTTCGCCACTTCCAAAGACATCACCATCGGTGTAAGGACACACAAAGCTCACTTCTTCTTAAAGCACAGATGACTAACGCTTAAACAGCCTGTCGCCGTCATGAGTCAGCTCACCGGTGCCGTGGTCGCTGACATGGCGACTGTCCTCCCCGACGTCCCAGGCCATGTAATTGCGTCTGCTCTTGCGCTCTTGGCTGGCGCTGTGGTGATTTTCATCGGACTGGTTCGCTGCGGCTGGATTGTGGACATCATTTCCCTCACTTCTCTCTCAGCATTCATGACCGGCTCGGCAATCTGCATCGCCGTCGGCCAGGTTCCATCTCTCATGGGCCTCAGCGGCTTTTCGACACGCGATCCCACGTACCTCATCTTCATTCACATACTCCAGAACCTGAAGTCCACAAGTATGGATGCCGCAATGGGGTTATCGGCGCTTGCTATGCTTTACCTTATCAGGGGAGTCTGCATGTGGATCGGGACACACTATCCAAAGCATCAGAAGTTGGCCTTCTTCTTGTCAACGCTACGAGTCGTATTCGTCATTGTCCTGTATACTTTGATCAGCTATCTGGTCAATCGGAGTCTGCCCAGGGGTACAGCGAAGTTCAAAATTCTGTTTGACGTTCCTAGAGGTATGTACAACTAAAGTCTCAGTTCTCACTCAGAGCTAATGTCTATCCAGGGTTTCAAAACGCGGCTATCCCGGTTCTCACCACCCCGATTGCAAGCAACCTCATAGGATACTTACCTGCCACTGTGGTGGTATTGCTCATCGAACATATTGCTATTTCAAAGTCGTTTGGTCGGGTCAACAACTACCAAATCAATCCCTCACAAGAGATGGTGGCCATTGGCATCACCAATATGCTGGGTCCCTTCCTCGGCGGGTACGCTGCAACGGGCTCTTTCAGTCGCACTGCCATTAAGTCGAAGGCTGGCGTCAGGACTCCGTTCGCTGGTGTTATCACGGCTTTCGTGGTTCTTCTCGCCATCTACGCCCTGCCAGCTGTCTTTTATTACATTCCTAACGCCTCTCTGTCAGCTGTCATCATTCACGCTGTAGGTGATCTCATCACTCCTCCCAACACCGTTTACCAGTTTTGGCTCGTTTCTCCATTTGAGGTCTTGATCTTTTTCGTCGGTGTCTTTGTCACCATCTTTTCGAGCATCGAAAACGGCATTTACACTACGGTGTTGCTCTCAGCAGCTATGCTCCTCTTCCGCATTTTGCGGTCAAAGGGTCGGTTTTTGGGCCGTGTCAAGGTCCAATCAATGCTTGGGAATCGTGTTATTGGCAATGACAGGCAGCAGCCGGTGCCCGGGTATGGCACGTTTACCGGCTCGCAGGAAGCCCCGACTCGAAACATCTTCCTGCCTATTACGCATGCTGACGGGTCAAACCCGGAGATTGAACTCGATAATCCGTATCCTGGAATTTTCATCTACCGGTTTGCGGAAGGGTTCAGCTACCCCAATGCCGGGAGCAGTCTGGAGCATCTGGTGAAAAACATCTTTAGACACACTGGACGAACGAACCTGGCGCATTTTGACAGACCTGGTGACCGCCCCTGGAACGAGCCTGGCCCGTCGAGGCGGGATATGAAGGCTGCTGCCGCGACTGGGGTTGACGCCGGGATTATTGGCGTGGACGTGAGCCTGCCGACGCTGAAGGCAGTGATATTGGATTTCAGCTCAGTGAATCATGTGGATATCACTTCGGTACAGCAGCTGATCGATGTGAGGAATCAGCTTGATCGGTATGCCAGTCCGGATATTGTCGACTGGCACATTGCTTGCATCAACAACCGGTGGGCGAAGAGGGCGCTGGCGGCCGCTGGGTTTGGGTATCCTACTCTTGTACCGGATGGACCTCACAGACGGTGGAAGAGTATATTTTCTGTGGCAGAGATTGGGGGTTCGCACAGTGCTGCCGCGGCCGCGGAGGTGGAGGTGAATGAGAAGGAGATTGCGAGAAGTCGAAGACAGACGCAGGTCGGTGATGTCGAGGGAGGTTTGCAGAAGCATCACCACCATGACCGACATGATCCTAAGAAGAAGACTGGAGCGGGCAGTGAGGCTGGGCCGAGAAAATCGGCGGTTACATTTAAGGATACGGTTCATCACTTGCACCAAAAGAGGATGTCGGTTGTAAAGGGGGCGCCGGAGTTGCACAGCGGGAGGACGGTGGTGGCACCTGTTCACGGGATCAACAGGCCGTTGTTTCATGTTGATTTGACGAGCGCGCTGCAGAGTGCGGTGGCTAATGTGGAGGGGAGGTATGAAGGTTTGGAGGGGGAGCATAGTTAGAATTATCATTGATGATCATGGAGTGGCGTTGTAGCATTGGTCTCTGTTTTCTGTTTGCTTTGCGTTCGGAGTTCGAGATTAGAAGCTAGGCATACCCCATACCTTGTAGGAGATAAACTGAGAATTAACAGGATGTTTACAAACCATTGTGGAACACTGATCACGAATTTGGAGGTTGTTCATGTGCGGTAAGGTCAGAGACGCGTGGTGTCAGACGAAGAAGAAATCGTCCGGACAACGCAGGGGGTAGGTAGAGTGACCTGCCTCGAAACTCAAGCTCATAAGGTGCAGATCCAGAGATGATAGTAACAGTAAATACAATAATAGCCAGGGCGTATGGTCTAGTGGTAAGGCGTCTCAGTTGCAAAAAAAACTTGTTCGATGCGTTCTCTGAATCTGTTGGAAGACAGGTGAAAAGGGTGCTTGAATGTTCCAAATGCTCCATGAGAAGATCCCAGGTTCGATTCCTGGTACGTCCAGTCTTTTTTTGGTATTTCTTTTGTCTCCTTGCCTGTTGGATAGATAAGACTTGAAACTGGGGATGGTGAAGAGAAAGTGAAGAAAAAAAGAAGAGAAACAAATTCATATTTGTATTTGAGGGAAAGGCATTGGGAGATTGAGTGGGTGAAGTCAGGCGGGGGAGGGGGAGAAGGGGGATTCGAAACCTTGGAACCTGGTATCCCGTGACTGGAAGTTGTTCTCATGATGCTTCTGCGGTTGTCGTTGTTTGTTGTTGCTGTTGTTGTGATGTTTGCCATGGTGTTTTTGTGGGTCAGTGGTGGCGGTGGCGGTGGTGGTGGCGGTGGTGGCGGCAAGGTGGCTTGTCCACAGACACCTGTTTCAAAGAAGGGCTTATGCATGGATATGTTATGCACGCATAAACCTTCCTTTCCAGGAGGCAGAGACCTTGGGGCCGCCAAAGCCCGGCTAAATGATTACCAACACCATGGAAACGAACAAACACAAACCAAGGACGTTCCTGGAACGATGAACCACCACGACCTGATTCTCACTATTAGGTATTATTAAGTACAATCTAAGCACAATCTTACAAAGATGACAATCATTGAGAACAAAAAGCCTGCGAACAGAGAGGCGTATACATGTACACTATAACCACTTTTGCCCGACGTATGCTGGCAAAATTCTATCTTTAAAAACACACCCCTTCTCCCTTTTCCCCCAGTCCGATCTCAACGCATTATGAGATGATGCAATTAAGTTGATGATGATGATGATGATGATGATGATGACGGTGACCATTTGGAAAAACGAAAACAATCAATCCAAAAAAAATGACAAAACACCACATCAAGCCAGCCTTTGCCCCCTTTCCGCCGCCCTCCAATGTTGTGATGAATAAACCCCCCTTGAACCTTCTACACCTCTCTTTAATGCAGCCCATGCCTTGTGCCTCCTCCCACCCTCCATTTTTATGTGAGAAAAAAAACCACCCGCAACTTTTCTTTTCGGACAAGCAAAAGACAGAATAGACTCCCCAAAAAAGCCGGTTTCCAGGAACGCCAGCCAAGACGAAGAAATAAACCATAGATGTTGTGTATGCAATGGTCTTGGGTATCGAAAACGTTGCTTCTATTTTATTCTTCTCTCTTTCTCTCATCTCTCTCCCTCCTTTGCCAATACAATGGTGAGTGTGTTTGTCGTGCTCTGCTTCGGGCCTGCCCGAAGCAGACGAAACCAAGACTTCAACCCGCCAAGTAGGATACTGACAGCGAGCGAGATCATCTCGTTCGTATCCAAAAAAAAAAAAAGAGGGTAAAATAACGCCGCTTCATTGAGGTTTGACCAACAGCTCATTGATGCTTGAACGCAAGGTCGCCGGTCGAAAAGAGCTCAAAGTGGACGCGCTGAGACAAGACGCCCTGGCTCTTGAGGTAGTCTGACATCTCCATCATGAACTGCTCGGGACCGCAAATGTAGTACTCGGTGCCGCCGTGGTTTAGGTGGAGGTCGTCAGGGTTGACTTTGGCGAGGTCCATGCGGAAGTCGTAGTTGTAGTTCACGCCCACGACGTCACCTCCGGCAAGGTGTGTCTTGAAAATGTTGGTGTGGAAGTTTGGGTTGGTGCGTCTCAGCTGTGTGATGTGATCCTCGAACGGTACCGATTTCCTGGAGCCGTGGATCCAAGAGATTGGCCTCTTAGGTTGCGTCGCAGTGACTTCATTGGCAATGGCGACCATGGGCGAAACACCGACACCGGCCGAGATGAGGACGATTGGGACATTGCTGGAGTTGTTGGTGTCGAGGAAGAACTCGCCGGCGGGGTGAGAAACTTCGACCATGGTGCCAGCTGGCATCGAGTCGATCAAGAGGTTGGACACGATACCGGGGTGGAAGTACGATTGTGAGACCGAGTTGGAATACTTGGCACCCTCGTCCCTCTTGACCGTGATACGGTAATAGTCGGGCTTCCACATCTCGCTGAGCGAATACTGCCTGGACTGGAGATAGCCCTCAGGACCGTTCACCTGCAGAGAAATGTACTGTCCGGGGAAGAACTTGGGCAGCTTCTTGCCGTCTTGTGGCACGAGATAAAAAGAGTAAATTTCTTCCGTCTCTGGAACCACCCGGTCAATCTTGAACTTGCGCCATGAACTCCACGACTCGAAGTCTCTGTAAAGCTGTGCCTCCCGCCCAATGAGCATCTTTGCCAATAACCAGTAAGCCCTCTCCCAGGCCGCGTGCACCTGCGGCGTCATTGCTGGGCCCAGCACCTCGGAGAAGGCCATGATCAAGTATTTGCCGACAATCTCGTAATGCTCAGGCTGGATACCGAGAGAGCAGTGCTTGTTGCACATGCGCTCAAACTTGGGAATCAGCTCACTGATGTGGTTGATGTTCGAGGCGAAGCTGAGAATGACGGACGTCAAGGCACGCGGTTGCCGGCCGTTCTTCTGGTTGACGCTGTTGAAATAGTTGTTCAGCTCTGGGTGGTCGCGAAGCATGTTTTTGTAGAACATGGTCGTGATCTTCTCACCATGCTCCCGGAGCGCTGGGATGGTGTCCTTGACCAATTTTGACTGTTGATATGTGAGCGCCATTTTGAGCCAGGTTGCTACTGTCTGTCGGCGCTATATGTGTCTGAGGATACCTCCCCAATCAAAGGCGTCACTTGGACTTTTATCACTCGGGATGATGATGTCGAGGTGGAAGTCGGTCAACCGATAAATCGATAAAACGAACGAACGGATGGACGGGGCGAGAAATTGGCGTGGGTGCCAAGCTGCTGCTGCTTTTCTCTTGCTTGGTCTACAAGTGCTACAAAGCTGCTATTGTGGGAAAGACCAGCGGTCCTTCGGGCGCCGTGATGGGACATGGCGTTGGCTATATACCACATGCGGTGAAACCGAAAAAGTGGAAATGATATTTTTTTTTCCAATGGCGCGGCGAGTCATAGTCCGGCCTAGGTCAGCTAGCTCGTACGATAGTCGCGGCTCGCAAGGATGTACCAGAAAGATTTCCAGATTGCCATATGTGTGAAGGCGGTGTTTGGAAAAGTCTTTTCCTTGTGCGAGGGTTCCATCGCTCCCACTTGAGGCTGCCATGTGTCGTGCAGGGGGGCTCCGGTCCCGCGAGCCCACTGCCGACGCCGCTTGGCGATGGCTTCAGCCTTGCGGGTCTGTGCCATGCCTGTCACGGGATCCCATGGTCGCGTGGTTCTGTGCGGTTTTTTCGACACCATGCTCTTGTTTGCCGCCTGGAAGGCCGCTCATGCGGCGCTATTTGAAAATGCACAATCTCCCTCCACAACCGACCAGATCCGTCGTCCACCTAGGGCTGGTTATCAATGAGGAACCTGGTGATATTATTCCACAAATTTATCGCCCAAAGTTTCCACTCCTCGCTCTGCCAAGAGGTCTATTGCTGGCTAGGCCACCGTCTGGTCGGATGCGCTGCCGTACAGTATGTATTGTGAGGGTTTGCGAGACCAATTTTCTCTGAACCGGCCGAAATAGAATCGACGTCATCGAAATATGGTGGAATGGACAGGGATGGTAGGTGAAGCCACATTGCCATGTCGATATGGGCAAGAAGTGTCAGCGCCTATGAGAGCCCTTCCTGTCAGATTCTCACCATATAATCTCGCCCCCACGGTCATGGCGTGAGCCCCGAGAAATTCCGATGAACCATGGCGTAAAGTTGACGCCAGTTTGGTGGACGAAATGGCTCTTGTTCGGGTGTTGTTCACACAATCTCCATGGGTCCAGGAGAGGGAATGGCTCGAGTCGGGTTGCGGCGGTTCGGCAGAAAATCTAGAAGGACGCAAATCGAAAGATATCGCTGGAGAGATGGGATATGGAGTTCAGGGACCCCTGCGGTCGCCTCACCCGTCACCTATCAAGACCCTGGTCCACCGGGGGACGTCGCTTCGGCAGTGCGATATCGTATGACTTCGCCTGAGCCTCGGTCATGGCTGGTGCTTCTGCTCAGGATGTCGGCGCGAAATCTAGCGAGAGCGGTGCAACTTGGCGGCTCCAGTTGCAAATCTCCAAGAGATGAGCGCACGCATGGAGGCGTGAACTGGAGATCATCAAGCGAGATGTTAAAAAACAAAAGAAGGAAGCCTGTCAAAAAAGGAGAGCCGCGGGTGGCCATGAATGGCACGACGGATCGTTCCGTTCGGCCTGATTGACGTTACGATTGGAGGGCTCAAATCGTTCGAGAAGTTAGTTCGAAGAAGCTAACGCTCAGACGGTGAAACGTTGAATTGATGGGAGGAGCGGTCAGCGGCTTGCTAAATTTCCACTTTGCCAATGAACCTAACCCCCTTCCAGCCACATCTTCACATCACCATCAGCCATTTCAGATGATGTCGTGACCACCCGCTGAGAATTCTCTCTCCACCAGAAGCTCCGTCGTCTTTCCGATCGCCGATTTGTGGCTTCTAGCTGGTGGAAAAAAATGGTAGCGGTCCACCATCGACGTTGAATAAGAAGACTATCTGTAGATCCCCCAGAACCTAACCTTGTGCACTGGTTGGTTTCAACGGCGTTATCGAAGAGTTGGGAAATAAGTTCAACCACCGCATGGTGTGGGGATATGGATATCGATGTCTCTTCGTGCCTCCCGCCTCCACGTCCGCGCCCGGAGCTTGTCTCCGGAGGTGTCTGTGTCAAAAGATCAGCGACCCGGCGGGTCTTCCCGAATGGAAGCGCAGATCCATGACCGCACCGACAGACTCCGGAAGAGTCTTGCGGGAAGTGGGCGAGTCTCTGGTGGTGTTCCTCATGTACAGTATGTACCGGTGGTTAGCGTGCTACGAAGTAGTAGCAACCACGCCAGACCCCGTACTATCAAACTGCTGCCCCTCCTTTTCCTCCGGGTGGTTACTTTCGCAACTCCTGGTAGTCCGCAAGGGAGCATATGAAGGCCGATGGCAGGGAGTCGCCGCTGAGTCATGATGAAACTCGGCCGCTGCTGCTGTTGATAAAAGCAAGGCCTGCGACGGGATGTTTGG